TGGGTTATACTATTGGCTTATATCTCAATTCCGTCAGTCAATCTCGTCAAGGGTTTGTAGGGTGGCCTCCCCATGCTTTGGGTTCGGGGGCCTTGCCCTCGATTTTTTTTTTTGTATGTACAACCATATAGAGTTGTTGCATTGCATACTCAAGCGCTGCATCTGGTTGAAGACAGAGAGCAGAGCATCGTGACACTCCAAACTCCAACACTGCTAGTTAGTTAGGCTGAAGACAAAGAGTTGAGTGTTATAACGCTCCAAACCTCAAACCCGTGATGCAGCGAGAAAGAGATGTGTACAATTTCTCCCACTTTTCAAAACGGATTTCATGGTGTAGTGTGACTCACTGGTTTTCTAACCTATTTTCGAGTTTTTTTTATGTTAAATACTGATGCTCTTTCTTCTCTGCTACACTTTTCTTTCTTATTTGTTTTGCTGCTCGGTTTTATTCCTAACGCAGAACATCTTGATACAATTTACATGAAAATGAGCACAAAATTCTTTGGATTTACTTTGAAATTGATATAATACAAATGTTTAAATCTAACAATTTTTAAGCACTTCCTGTAAATTATCACAGCTAAAAATTCCATTTAAAATACTCTTATCCAATTTTTTTCCCAAAATAATTCCCTGAAAATGAAGGCCCTGTAAATTCATTCAAGATCAAGATCATTAAAATAGTCATAGAACATAGACCGGCCGAGCGTTCATTCCATGTTCTTCTTTGTTTTCTTCGTTACAACACTACCAATGCTACAAAACTAGCCAAAGAAGTCTACCATTTACTAAAGAAAAAGACAGACAAAAAGCCAAGAATTGCGTGTTTGACCGCTTTCATTTGTCTTGCCCACACTTGCACGCTTGAAGGATGTGAGAGAGAGACAACCAAAAAGAAGCTGTCAATTATCCCAACGTACTGAAGCATTCCAAATGAAGCTGCAAAATGGACGCAGAAACAAAGAGAAAGGAGAGATTTGGGAAATTTCTTCTTCTTTTTTGCAATTTCTACTTGTAAATCAGTGATGTCGTTGAAGAGTTATGACTCCTCTATCATGTATTGTTCTTTGTATTTTATTCTATTGATTAGAAAACTAAGTAACTGGCTAGTTTTTTAGAGCTGAGCTCCAGGAAGCAAGTGATGGGTTATTTAAAGAGATTGGCTAATGATGTTTAGTAATGAAAAGCAGAGCTTAGTTTTGAGCCTACAGTTAGCCACAATATGAACAATTTTGTCATGTTGGTGTAACTTTCCAGTGGGTCACTCATCCCAAAATCAGATACCATTTGTAACAGGCTAAACTCTTAACTATTCATATATTGTCTGATTTAACCTAAGAGCCTAATGATTTTGTCATGTTGGTGTAACTTCTCAATAGGTCACCCATCCCAGAATTGTTAGGGATGAGCATGCTTAACTGCGTAGTTTCTTACGAAAATTTCAATCATTACACCAAAAGGCCCCTCAATATTTCAGAGTTTAGTTTCTTTTACTTAATGAATTTCACATATATGGCAGACCCATTGTGTTAGAATTAGTATGCAAACTTATGATTTGATGTTGAATGCTCCCACATATGTGAATTGTGAAGAGATCCAACCATTTTCATTGATTACACATCAAAAGCCAAGGAGTGGGGGGAAAAAGCCAAGTAGTCTAGCAAGTCACATCCAAGAGCATCAACAATGAAGTGACCATTGAGTCTTTCGTCCTGTATAAGCTACAGAGTAAACTCATCCAAGATGGACGAGGAAATGTGTGGTTTGATGATGTTTATAAAGCTAAATGATTGAGATTTCTCAATCATTTAACTCAATATATACAGGAAGCCAAAGAATAATGATGGAATGGAGAGAAGAGAAAACCCCTCTTTTGTCTTTTAGCCTGCAAGAAACCTCACAAGAAATCAAGTGGAGCTTCCTAATGGAGATGATACCAAGCTACAAAGATCTAGAGCTGCAAGAGTGAATGGTCTTATGCATCTTTTGGGAAAAAAGAAAGAACGAGACCAGTAGTAAATAGTAATCCAACTAGAGAATTTGATTATCAAAGAAAGGCACTTAGCTTTCCAATCAGTAAGAGTATAATTAATTTTATCAATGAGCGGTTGCAAGTCAGCCATGCGAGGTCTACGAGCAGAGGTCGTTAGCTTGAGGTAAGAAGAGTGAGGAAATTTGTTGGAAACCCCAATTATTTAACTTAAAAGCAGAGTGCTTTGTGCCTTTAGAGAAGCTCTAACATTTCCTACTAAGTATTTTCAACATAAGAATTTCTTGGACCTTAAGGTGTGGACTATAGTAGGTGATTTTTGGGCAAAAAGCATAATTAATTTGGGATGAAGTCAAGGGCGAAACTGTGTACTGCTGAGGTCTATTTATTATTTTACTCAAGTAAATATAGTTAAATAATGCTAATATGAATACTCTATTATATTCAAACAAATATAATAGAGCTATATACGGGCATTTACATACTTAATTAGCCCAATCTATTGATGTGTATCGACACGTATAATACCCTAATGCATAAAAATATAACAGTGGTCTTACTAAAAGAATTTTGTAGCATATCTAGGCTTCGTTTGGGACAGCTTTTGGATAGTTTTTTTTTTACTTTCAAGAAATTGTTATACTAAAAAACTACTTTAGAAAGTAGTAAGAAAGCCGTCACAAACAAAACCTTAGTCACTATTCATTCAAGCTTTTGAGAGTGTTGGTTATGTTCGGTTCCTTAAGGCCAAACACTTGGTTTGGAAATATCTAATAAGTTTTAGGCTATAGGATCTTATAATTATACATAAAATCACTTAAATTGATCCTATTAAGTGATTTTATTTGAGGTTTCTTTTACTTTGGCTAAAAAATTATGCAGTCATATTTATTATATTGTTACTGTCAATAAAGTAGGCTGAGAAGTTATTGTCAAAAAGTTATTGTAAATGAATTATTACTAGTGAAGTTGGCAAAACTATGTAGGTTCACCTTGATATTTATGACACAAATCTAAGGCAAATTGGGTTATAAGTAATGCAAACTAAGGTGTAAAATAACAAGCAAATATATCATAATATCAATTTATTACAAATTATGCGACCAAATTTTATTATCTAAAATTTTAAATTTCTTTTGTGACAAATGAAAAAAGATTATCATAATTTCGTGATCAGTTAGCAACTGAATTTTAGTCATTATTTTGAGAATGGTTTATAACTTATTTGTGATTATATTCTTTGTTAGAACATTATGATGGACCTCTGGTGATATATACTCTATTACTAAGATGAGTTTGATTTATTATAATATTTTGACAGAATAGTCTCTCATCTTCACTAATTTCCTAACTAATTATGGGCGAGCATCAGCATTATTGGCTATAGTGAAAGTTGAACTATTTATAATTTTTTTCAAGAGAGACATCCAGGCCATTTTGACAAATAATTAGAACATTGCATCGATCTATCAATATTGATCTTCCTTGATCTTGTATTAATTTATAGTTATATTAATGTCTAAATGATACTAAAAGTAAACAATCTTGGGCTCAAAGGATTAATATCATTTAAATACCCATTTCAACTATAAACACATAATGATTGGAGAGCATTTGATCCCTTAAATGATCTCACTAAGCTTCCAAATTTGACATGTGAGGCTAGTAAACCCATAGAGCAAAAGAATGAAAAATAAAATAAATTATTTTTAGGCTAAAATGATACAATTGGTTACTTTTTCATTATATAATGTCCTTTTTCTTAACTTTGTTTTAGAACAAGTATGCAAGAGATGGTAGTACTCAGGTGGAGCTATGACATTTTTTGAACCTCTAAGCACTCTCCAACATCTAGCCTGTTAGTCTAAAATTTGATTGTGCCTATCAATCAGGTTGTATTGTTACCGTGGATCTATGTTCAATTTATCATGCTCGCTGAGGGGTTCCTCCCCCTACTTGGGTTTGGGTGCTTTGAAACTGAAACTTTTTTTGTTTACAACACCCCGACATTATGTGCCCAAGCGCCTCGGCTCTATGTACCCAAGAGCCCCAGCATTGGGTTCCTGAGCATCCCGATACTGCAAAGTTTACTAAGAAGAATGACAGAGAGCTTAGCACCACAATGCTCTAAATTCGACGTCGCAGGGTTGTCAAATGGACCAATGGTAGAGGTTTGAGCGCTACAACGCTTCAAACTAGCATCACAATGCTTTGAGGCAGACTGATCAATTTTCTTTCTCATTTTCTCTGAAGGGTGACATCCCTTTATGTTATTTACTTGACTTTCTCTTTTATTTTGTGTGTGAGAATGTGGTAAGAATGAAGAAAAGCATAAAGAGAGCGAGAGAAAAAAGATATATGTACAAATTTCTCCCAATTTTCATAGTAAATTTCTTGGCATGTTGTCGCTCCGTAAAATTTTTTTTCCCGATTTTAGGTTTTTTCTAAGTTAAATCTTGGTTCCTCTTATTTCCGTTGATTTTTATTTCTTATTTTGTGTTCGTTGCGTGGTTTATTTTCACCCCCAACATAGCTTAAGGTCCCTTTCAGGTACACGCTTGAGGTCAATTTATAATTGTGGATAACATCTAAAATACTCCATTAGATGACTCACACTAATTCCTCTTAATCATTAGTTGTTTTTTTGAATGATTGAGTGCTTTAATAATGCTAAAATTAAACAATCATAAGCTCGTTGATTAATATCATCAACACGAGACGCTTGATTTGACTATAGATTTGTAAGATCTAAAGTCAATAAATTATTTTCATCAAGACTTTAATTTAACAATATATTTAAAAAATAAGAATTCCAGTGTTCCTAAATTTAACTCAAAAATACAAATAAAAATAAAATAAAATAAAACAATAAAAAGGGTTCTGAGATTCCAAAGAAACACTATTTATTCCTCATTTAATCAAATTCAGGCAATTTTTAAAACATAAAATTTGTAAAACTTTATTAAATGCTAATAAACTTTAATATAAAGTACCTAAGAAATCTAATATATTTAAAACTCCAAAAGCACATCACCTCCCTTCAAGCCAAATGGCAAAATATTTACAATTACAAACACGAACATCAAAGTAGTAGAAACAGCCACAAAGTTCAATCAAATAAGCCAAAGGTGTTCACTCCGGTATGGTAACCAAAACCGGCCGCCAGGTCCGCCGCAACAACCGGTGTCGAAGCCCCCGCGTTCCGAATCGCATGAAACCGCGCCGCCCACCGCCGGCGAGCAAATCCATACCCAGTCTCCTCCACACTCCATCCACCTCCCTCTCGCATCTCATGGCTCCCCCGACTTCTCCGCCGCACTCGACCTCATTTCTGCCTCCGGCTTCGCATCTGTCCGGCGTCAGCGGCGGAGATGAGACGAATAGATCACGTAGCGTCCCTCTCTTTCCCGGTAGATCAGACGGCTCCACTGCCGAGTAGCTTTTCCGGCGCCCGAGGAGCATTCTTAGGGTTTTGCGACGGCGGAGTCGAAATCCAGGGCTACCGCCGCCGGAAGCGGCGGCGGCAGATGGGGCTCTGGAAGGACTTCTTGCCGTAGCGCATTGTGTGGCCAATAGCTTGAATTTCTGCAGCGCTGCCATTTCTGTGGTTTCTGCTCGTTCGGCCTCTCTAAGTAGGGATTTGAGGGAGCGATGGTAGTGGAGGAATTGATTCGGTTCGGAAAGGGGCGAGGAATAAGATAGAGAGGGGGGAGAGATTGTGAGGAAACGGTGACACGTGGAGGCAGGAGAAGCGCGTTGTATTTATTCCCTACTGAACGATTGCATGCTTCAGTTTGCAGATTAAACTGGCTGTAATTAGGCGCCGGCTGCCTGTGTCCGTTTGCCCTTGGAGGTAGTTATCGGTGCTCGTGCGAACGGCACGTGTAGGAAGGACTACGAGGTATATTAATCGAAGAGGAGAAGACAAATATATCACGATTTTTTCTATTATTATTTTTTGGTATGGTAATAATTATTATTTTTTAATTACATGATACGATATTATATGTGTTAGTAATTAAAATTAAAATTATAAGATAAATGAGCAAAATAAAAGGATTTTTAATTTTTTGTTAATTTAGATTTTCATTTTTATTTTATTTTAAAATACTTTTTATATATTCAGATTGTTTCAAAGCCATCCCTCCCCTTTATTTTTATTAGCTTGTAAAGGAAGTAAATAAGAGAAGAATGAGAAAAGTGAAGAGAGAGAGAGGAAGCCCTCTAGAGCTTTTTAATCTCTCTCTTATGTTATAAAAAGTATTATGATCGTAGTTAGTGACCTCTATTCTACTTTTGTTTTTTTTATTATGTCGAGTTTAGTATTTTCTCCCCCCCCCCCCTAAATTTGGTAAAAAGATAATATCTCTTATTCTAGTGAGTTTTCATCATGTAACTGTTAGTATGTAATATATATCATTCTTATGAGTATTTTGGTTGGCTTATATTGGAGTTTTGCTGGGTGATTTGATTGATATGATATTTTAATTGAATTTAGAAAAATATGAATTGAAAATGATCAGATACCATTGTATTAAATTGAGATCTGAGATACATGATATATATATAATTACTCTTTATTTGGAAAAATAAAATAAATAATTGCTCTTTAATTGGAATAACTTGTATTTTAGCATTATACATACATATGTTGAAAACACAATAGATTTATATGTTATGATGATTGTATATATATAATGTGTACAAGAAGCCATATGAGATGTCTTTTATCAAGATGTATATATGATATGCGTGACAGTAGGTAAATGAATGAATTAATGTGTTAAGTAAGACGGATAAGATTAATATTGATATGACTGATAATATGATATATGAGTATATTGATAGTAGCATTAATATATATCATGGTTATTATTATTATTATTAATATGATATGCATGTGTGTGCATTTTATCCTATACAGAAGGTGAGCTAATAGGCCTTCTTGAAATAAAGATTGTGGTGTCAACCTGTATGTTAGCTTGTAACTAATTGACCGATAACATTGAGGGTAGAGAATGGTGACTCGTTATTGATAGATCGATTAAATTGATTATTGATGGACCAATTATTAGATTGATGGATGACATATATGACAGATGATAGGTGATAAATAACACAGATGCTAGATAGACTGATGAGCTATAAGATTGATGATTATCGAGACTAATTACTCATGATAGGTGACTGATGATACTGGTAGCCTAATTGAATGATATAAAAAACCTAACTTATATGGAGCGAACTTATATATTGATATTCTTTAAATTGAATAAGAATTGTTAAAACATTAATAATTAATGACCATTGTTACATCTCTTTTTCTAAATATATTTCACTTAATATAGCTTATAGCTGTAAAAATTACAAAATTAAAAATAAAAACAAATGAAGAGTATAATTTTTCTCCAATATTTAGGAAGAAAAAATTACAAAAGAAGAGATGTAATTTACAAACGGGTAATGCGCAGAATTATCTCAAAGGAAAAAAAGCTTTGGGAGTAAACAGTGCAGGACTGGAATTACGTCAAGAACCTCGATGGCTAGAATTAGGCGTTGAAGACCTGCTTGCCCACTTTTCCGTCACCGACTCCGGCGAGGAAGGCCGTTTATCGCTATCTCTACCAGCATTGCTTACAATCTGTTCGTTCGAATGCTCCAGTAAAGCCCCGCTCTGAATTCCCTTCAGCACCTCGAGCACTTCCTTTATTGGAGGCCTCATCTCTCTATCCACTTGCAAGCACCGGAAAGCAAGCTCGGCCACGAGCTTCATCATTTTCTTCGTCTTCATGTCGGATTCGAAACAAAGTTTCGGATCCATTAACTCTTCCAAATTCCCCTTTTGTATCCGGTTCACCGCCATGGTGGATAGGTTTATCTCGAAGCGATCGCGGCCGAAGTCGACGGCTGGCTTCGATGATATGAGTTCAACGAGCACAACGCCGAAGCTGAAGACATCGCTGCGGTCTGTGAGCTGGTAACACTGATAGTACTCCGGGTCGAGGTAGCCCGGCGTGCCCTGCGGCGCGGTGGAGATGTGGGTGGAGCCGTCGGGTGGAAATAGGCGGGAGAGGCCAAAGTCGGCAACTTTGACATGGAATTCGGCGTCGAGGAGGATGTTTCCAGTCTTCACGTCGCGGTGGATGATCGGCGGGTCGATGGCGTGGAGGTAGGCGAGCGCAGTCGCAGTCTCAACGGCGATCGAAAGGCGAAATGGCCAAGTTAGCCGGCCTTCACTGGCGAGGCTGCCGTGGAGATGATCAGCAACGGTGCCGTTGGGAACGAACTCGTAGACGAGGACGAGCTCGCGGCTTCTCGGCGATGTGCAGCCGTATAGGGAGACGAGATTTTGATGACGGACGCGGGAGAGGATCACTATCTCGTTGGCGAACTGCTCCACTCGCTTGAAGTTGCTCTCGTATAAGCGCTTCACAGCGACAGGACGGCCGTCCCGAAGCTTCCCTGCGGCAGCAGACAAGCTGTTTGTAAATATTCCTGAAAGAGAGCATCTTTTTTATGAACAGGTTGTAGAGAGTGGGCATACCTTTATAAACAGTGCAAAAGCCACCGTCGCCAATCTCCATGGCGGTGTCGAAGGAATTGGTCGCTTCATAGAGTTCATCATAGGAGAAAATGTGAGTCTGGTATTGGTAGCGGGCGAGCTCTGACTCCTTTTCGGAGAACTGAGGGCTGATGTTGGATGACTGGTAGTAGAGGAGGCTGGAAGAACTGGTGTGATTTAGTTTAGGCTGCTGGTCTCGCCGTCGCCGACGCCTTATGTGAACAAAGCAGAGGATACAACCTATGATGAAGATGCTCGAGCTGGCGGCGATCGTTGCACCTGAGATTGGTAAGGAATCATGAATTCAGCGAACTGTAGTAATAAATTTTGCAGGAATTTCTGCTTCACAAATTTAAAGCTGTGGTTCTGCTTCTGGTTCAGATTGTCCACTGCTGTTCTGTATCTTTTTTGGCTCATTTTACATCATCTTGGTAGAAAGAAAGATCATGAGATTTGAAGACTTCATAAACTGTTTAGTTTGCAGAATGCATTTCTGTTGGATTTTATTTTCATTACACAAGCGTATTTTTTCGTTATAGGAACTATTGGAATGGGAATTTGAGTTAGATTCCTTACCTACAGTCATTGATTTAGATTTTTGTCATAAAAGGTGCTAGTAATTTGAAATCTACAGTCTACAGTCATTGATTTGAGCTATTGACTCCTCTTTTTGTTTTCTTTCAATCATATTAGCATCCAAACTCAGCAAAAGGGCTTTCTCGTGCTTCGAAATATCATGCAATAAAGATGTTCTAGTCAGTGTGTGGTTCAGAAGTAAAGGAAAAAGTGTTCTACTTTTCAGCCAAATACTCGCCTTTTTGAAAGTTTTTTCCTTCTTCTCTAACCAGGTGTCCCTTTGTTGACCTTAAATCATTTGTTGCCACCATCTCCATCCTCAAAACTTCTTCTTTGGATCTTTCAATCTAGTAACAGATTCCACAAATTCCGGTTTTTTTTTTTAATTTTTTGCCCTCTTATGTTTAGTTTTTAGCTAAATCCTGTTTCTAAAAACTAGATTTCATAATCCAACATTTCTAAATGAAAATTATGCAGTGAATTTCAGAAGAAAACTTGAGCGTTTGAAGTACTAAAAGAGATTGTATGTCTGAGATTCTGAGAACTCACCAACTATAACACCCTTGTTGTTCCTGCTCTTCTTCACTGCTGCATCATATAAGAAGTGGCATGCAAAAATCAAATCAATAGAAGCCCCAAAGAATCTACAAAATCACAAAGTTTATATAGATCCAAATCAAATTACCCTGGCAACCGTTGCTGCAACTGCATGCAGAATCACCCTCATCACTGCAATTTCTTGCAGAAATCTGGCAACTGAAACAATCAGTGCCCACCCATCGTGGTGAAAACCCCACGCCCATCAGAGAGATTTCATTACCATCCTCTCCTCCAAAAGAGAGCTTCCAATAGAACCAAAGATCTTTGGAAGAAGAACAGCTACTTGGAAGCGAACTGTAACTCTGATCGCCATTGCCCTTGAAGTATAAGAGGCTATAGTTTTTGCAAAGATTCAGATTATAATCCACATGAAATATATCATTGGAAAAATCATAATCGTCGTTGCAGTTAAAAAAGGATTCCCCAGACGGAAGTGTTTCAGATATGGAGGTGAAATTGATCCCTGGAACTGGCTTCCTGAAATCATAGAAAAAATCACAATTCCATCCTCTGAAGTAAGAGCTGAGCTTGAGATCATGGATTATAATCGTCTTATCCTTGTACGAGATGCTCCTCACTGGATACAAGTAATTGTCTCCATAGAATCGAACCGCCGGCACCAGATCGATGCACTGGATGAAGTGAATCCCAGTACATGACTTGACTGAATTGTTGGTGTAGAAAGGAAACTCTATATCCACAGTTATATTTCCACAGCTAAAGTTTTCAGGAAGACACGAAGATTCAGCACTTGAAGGAAGGAAGAAACATGTCGCCGTGAGGAGAAAACCCAGGAAGAAGAGAAGAATGGATTGGGTTGAACAGAAGAACATTTTACAAGAAAAAGAATGGAGATTTACGAAAGAAGCTGCATCAAAAAGCTTCAAAAAATAAAAAAAGAAAACTTTTTGTTACAATCTCTAGAACTGTTTTGTTCTTGTAAGGTTCTGCAGATATTGAAGGGATCTATCTGAAACCTTGCAGGTTGGGCACGCAAGGAACCGGTCAGAGACGGCCATTATTAGTCTATTAGATATAGATTATCATGATTAATTAACTTTAGGGGTTGCTATCTTAGGCATAAGAAGAATTATATAATTAACGAATGAATTGGAGTGATATTTTTTTATTATTTATGAGTTTTCATTTAAAAAAACAAATATTTTTTGTATTTATTATGGAAGGAAGATTAGAAGGATTAGAAGTGGCTGGAAACCGTTGGGCCTACGCGGCTGTGTAAACGTTGCATTTAATTGCATTGAAGGCTTGAAGTCAAACGGCTAGCATTTGTCAGCAACGGCCACTTTATTTTCAACGGAGATGCCGTTCTTGGACTAATCGTAGGGAGGATAGAAAGGAATTTGCTAAGCCAATTAGTGATGAACTCAGCTTATTATTATAATAAGTGGATAATTTTGGGGCAAATTTTTAAAATTTTATCATATAAATGAATAAATTATTTAGTAATTTATTATTTAGTAAATGATACTTTAAATTTTAAAGAAATGTTCATTTGATAATGATGTAATTATTTATTTGATGATTTATTTATTATTCTTGTATTAATTATTCTAAATTTTATGTATTTTAAAAACTATTTATATTAAATAATTAAACATATTAATTAAAAAAATTAACTAATATTTAAATTTTACCAAATAACATGAATAATACCTAATGAAATATGTAATTTTTTTTAAGTTTATTAAAAAAATCATCTCTGTAATTAAGGTTATGTATTTAAATCATTTGTATAAAATTATTTGTAAGATGAAATTATTAATTAAATAATTATATACATCTACAGATTAAAAATTTTAATTAATTTTTTAAACTTACCAAATATCTTAAATAATGCATAGTAAATTAATTAATTATTATTAAAATTTATTAATCTATCTATGTCTATTATTAAGGTTATACATTTAAATAATTTGTATAAAATATATAATTAATTATGCTCCATTAAATTTTGATAAAGACTCAACAAGATTTTAAAACTTCGATCGAATTTTGCTTGAAGTTTATTAAATAAATAAACAAACAAATTTGAACTAGATAATATTAATCTCAAATCAACATAGAATAATTATTGAATGGTTAATCTTTTTTTTCATTTTAATGAGGAGCGATAAATCAAAATATTTTTAAAATAAAAATAAAAAATAACTTTCTTCAATTATTGTAGCCGTGAATCCATTCATAATTTTTATTTTTATTTTTTAAAAAACTTAATAAGACCTAAAAGAAAACCTAATAATTTAATAATAAGTTCTTTGAAAAGATAAAAGATTTGTCAAGAGTGAGCCCAATTTCCTTTACTACAAACAAAAAAAAATGAAAACCCTCTTAGGGGCTAGGTATGATAAAGATATATTTCTATTATCATTATATGTGGAGTAATACTTTTCATCTATGTATATTTTTTAATAAATTATTAAATAATTTTGCAAAGCATTTAAATTTAAAATAGATTAAATTAAAATATGATAAATTTATACTTTACTTTTTAGGTCAAAGTCAAAAATATCAACAAATAATAAAAGATTTTCAAATAATATAATAATAATGTCATAAAACTATTTAAACAATTTAATAATTTCATTCATCATTATTTTTTCCCCCTATATTTTATAGCTATGTTATATAAGTTTAGAGAAGAGGGAGATATCTAATCCAATAACTTCTAATTTTAAAATTTTCAAATGAATGATAATCTAATTGCATTTGGAAGCTCTCCTTAAAGAGATATAGGTTCAAAGTCATATGATTATTAATTTTTATTTAATATTTAAAGATGTCAATAAATGACCCGACTCGATAGTCCAACTCTAAAAATTTAGGTTTGAGTTGGTACATTTAATAAACGGGATAGGTTCAGGTACGAAATTCTGACTCGTTTGATTGGCTCATTGGGTTTCAGCTGACCTGTGAACACAATCTTGATCCGAAAGTGACTTGTTTCAATTAGTTGAGTTCGAATAGACTGAATTTAGATAGGATCGATTTCAGGTAGGACTTGATCCAGACACGTAAACCTGTTTCTTTTTTTCTCGGCTTGCCTATATTAATATAAATAATGGAATTTGAACATTCAAAGAGTTAAAAAAATGAGAGACATTTTGTGTGCTATTGAAGTTGCAGTGTGGCACTTTTCAATTCATGTGTATAGTCAGCCATCTATGAAGAATTTGTCCAACTAGAATTTATTATAAATTTCACTCTCCAATAATGGCAAGAGAAATTGGTTTGGATTTCCAACTTTCAACAAAAATCGAATGGACTGACTTTATTGCTCACTTATTCAGCTGATTGAACATTTATCAACAAGATTTTTAAATGTCAATATAAATATTTTTTAATTATAATAATAATTTATGGATAATTGGATAGTTAGTACATAAGAAGATGGTGAGATTTATGGAAACTATAATTTGACTACTGATGAGTTGAATTTGCCTATATACACATGGCGGATTTTTGGGTAGAGAGAGAAAGAGGAGATGATGATTCTAGAGAGAGAAGTAAGTGAGAGAAATATTAGGGGTCAACTACAAATTTCTATAGATAAGTAAAGGTGGTGGTTGGCCATTGGAGAATTTATTATGTGTTGTCACCGAACAGCCCAGAGGCGAATCAGAATGCGCTATGTTATCTGGTACCGAGTGCTACGCAACAGCGATACACAACAAAAAATGATGTGACTTATTTTAATTCGCCTCTAGATGTCTTTCGGTCACCACACAAAATAATTTCATTAGCCATTGAGGGGGATGAGAGAGAGAGAGAGAGAGAGAGAGAGAGAGAGAGAGAGAGAGACTTGAGTAAATTTTGATTTTCCCTTTAATTGCCATGAAAATTTAATGACAAAAGAAGTATATTTATAATAAAAATTGATAATATATTACTTGAAATTTAAGACTAAATTTGGAAATTCACTTATTCTATGCATAATGATATGTTAATTTGACGAACAAATAAATTTTTTAAGCAATAATCATATTTTGTTTTCTTAATTTATTAATATTTCTTAATTAAAAATAATAGAAAAATATTTTTATGTTGGTTTCATTGGCCACAACCCACAAATCATGTTTTGAAAATTTTATATTTTATTTTATGATATAGATGAGCATAAGATGAAAGCAATAAGAAATGTGATTTTTTGACCTCCTTGTAACTCTTACAACTTGATATACTCCCATTAAAATTCATACAAATATTCATAAATTTCCTTTAGTTTGATCTAGCCACATATAATTATTCTAGACCTACACATGTTTTTTTTTTTTTAGCTGACCCCATATAGTGGAATAAAAACTTGATGTTGTTCGTCTTCATTTGGCTAAACTGTATGTTTGTTAGATTAGCCATTTTATGTGCATCAATATAGTCCACCATGGGCTTAGCTATCCAAATGAGCCAAGAATACCACTAATAGAGCCTCTAAAATTAGAATTCCATGTTTACCTCATTTGCTCCTACAAAGTAGTATTAAAGAGCTTTCAAAAGGTTTTTGAGTTTTCAAACTTTTTTTATGAACTAGCAAGTATCACAATAATATTTTTTATGATTCTTAGGGTTCTTCATAAGGAGAAACTTAGCTTTTGTTGTGGAGTGAACCCTCTTATGATACCAATGAATCACTAATAAAAATAGTGCATGTGATTTACTTGACATAGAAAGGCCACTTCTTTCTCTAAAGGGCTTTCTTTGGTTACAAAAGGTTGCTTCTTTGTTTCTTCTTTAGAATTTGGCCACTTCTTCCTCTAAAGGGCTTTCTTAAGTTACAAAAGGTTGCTACTTTGTTTCTTCTTTAGAATTTGGCTTGTTTGGCAAGGTGTATTCATGTGCTTTTGATTGCTCCTTTTTAAATCACTTGATCATCTTTTAAGAAGATATAGGGTTTATGTTATTAGGTAGGTCATTTGATCTCAATAAAATATTGTTTTTAGGTCACTTGATCTCAATAAAGGGAACTATAGCTATTGCAATTTTAACCACAATTTTAGCTTGCTTGATTATTACTTCTATATCTTGAAGTTGTGAAATAAACCTATAAATAATTCGCAAATAGAAATTTTTTATTTTTTTATAAATTACACAAAATCTCTGTCCTGAAAATTTAGAATGTTTTTTTATTATATGAAACCCGACTAAAGGAATCATATCGTATTGTATTTCAATGATATATCATTATAGGAAAAAAGAGAATGTTCCAGCAATAAGGCCGGTAGAAATATTCCAATGGATTTTTTAGCGAAAAATGTAGCAAAAGTTCTGACGAAGAGTTTCCTACAAAAAATTTTCACAATACAAGTGCATTAGTTTCTGACAAATTTTTCACCAGAAACCCCCTTGAAAACTCTAACGTATCTTCCGACTTGCACTCCCATTTCCTTGTTTCTCATAAACTCCATTATGTCACTTTTTCACCCATTTTGAGCCACTATACTTCACCTGCAATCATAAGTGATTTCGGCCCTGTTTTTTAATTCATCCATAAATATGATGGCATTTCTCCTCCTCTATATCAAAGATGGTTTTATTTAAGATTGCATTCATTAGTTTCTTCAAATGTCAAATTTTGGGGATTTCTGTAAATAAATTCTTAAAACTAGGAGATTAATTAGTTTGAAAGGTTTTTTTCTTTAACAAAGATTTGTATGTTCTTCATACATATTGTATTTTTGTATGAAGATCAAGAATTTCTTTCATAGATCTATCATTCATTAAACTCTTAAGTAAATGCAGCTTATGAATATTCATAGTGAATGATCTTGAATGTACAATAAATTGTTATATAGTATGAAAGGATTAACTTATACATTTTTTAAGTGAGTTGAATATTTTGTGTACTTCACTTCTCAAATTTACCCATTTTTCAATGTGAGAGAAAGTTTAAATGCTCATCTTCTAAATAAAATCAATCATATAACACCACATGAAGTTAGGGTTTATTTGAATTAGAGAGGAATTCAATCCTATTATTCGTTTGTATCATCCCTACCGACCGACAACTTTTCTGAGATCTAAAGAACATATTTTTTAATACATTTTTAGATGGATTTTTCGCCATAAATTCATTTGTAAATTTTTAGCGAATTTTTTGTCAGTCCGAAAAGGTTTCTAATTAATGCATTTTTTTCTAGTGGATTATGATCTGCCAAACACCAAAAATTTTCAAAATTTAAGATTTTAACTATTAATTTTTTTTGTCAGTAATGAGCTTCTAAGGGGC